TGCCAACACTTTCAATATCGACATTCAAAAATATCAGTGATAGCAATCAAACAAATAGCAAACAAGAATTTAAGGTGGTTAGAATATTTTTATAACGATCCATGAATGATTGAGGTCACATAAGTTCCTACTACTCAACCAAGTTAGTGCAGTCAGTAATTATGCATCATGGAATTCAATAGAATGATGGACCAAGCAGTAGCAACAAGTACTTCTGCCAAATGGCGTCATAATCATCATAGCCAGGAAGGCAGACATAATTCATCAAAGAATAAACTATCAAACATCACGGCACGCGATCCAATTGCCTATCGTTCAAGACTGCTCAAGAGCCTTATACATAATAGTTCAGTCGCATTGGGGAAAAGGGAAGTCGGAGGAATACCATTTCGAGTTCTTGGGCCACCAAAATACAGGGGTACATTAAGTCCTTTCTCCCCTTACCAGCAGCTCCTCCTGTATTTCCTCCGCTGTCGTTTTCTTTTTCGGCAACCGGAAAATAAACAATAGACACATTCTAACAACCGAAATTCGTCGGGGAAAAGTTCTTCCTTAATTCCCAACTATCCATCTCAAAATATATGCATTGTCTTCTTCTCTCCCCCAGCGGAGATTTGGAGTCGAGTAGATCCGTCGATGACTCGATGTTGGATTTCAGATCTATGTGACGAGAGCGCCGATGCCAAGGGAACCACCGCCTCTTCTTTTTCAAAATCATGTTCCGGCGATCACTGCAGACCTCCAGTTCTCGAACGCTTCGTCTCCCTCCCTCAGTCTCTTTCAAAGACTCCTTCCTCTACTAGCCGGAATCCATTCCCGTTACGACATGTTCGCTCCGGCGAGTGATTCATTCACTGACAGCACTCCGTTTCATTTTCAATATGTTTACCACTTTTCAATTCCAATTTCCGTTCTCCCCACCTTTTTGCCCCTCCGTCGATCCCTGGAGGCTGGCCAAGCTGAAGCTTTTGGCCCTTCGTCGGTTCCCACAACACCCTGTACCCCTTTCTGTCGCTTTCTCCCAATCTCAACCCCACGTTTATTCCCCTTAAACCTAGTTCTAGTCCCTAAAGAATGTCGGAGTCAACAGCAAAGTCACGGAACTCGCCGCCAAAATCGACGACATGATTCTATTAGCTAAAAACAACGACAAGGACCTGCCTCCGCCGACATCGTCCGCCGCCGTCGACGTTCATAATCTGATAGACATGAACGACGAGAATCAAAAATACCAGTCGCCGCTCCTCTCTGTTTCTCTCTCTCTCTCTCTCTCTCTTACAAGGCCACTATTCCCTTTCCTTCTTTCGCGACAAACAGAGAAGTCGGACACCTCTCAGCCTGCTTCTTTCTCCATCGCCCTTTCTCCTTCTCTTCTATCTCGACCAGCGGAGACCGGATTCACAGCCGGCGACGATGATATATGGCGAGATTTCCGACGAGAGCGGCGACTGACGAAGGCTGGAAGCGGCGGAGTGATGATGGCGGTCGAGAAGTTAAGAGTGCGACGGCGGAGATGCGCGAGGATGGCGACTCAGCAGCGAAGGCGGGTTCGGATGCTCCTTCTTGTCCATAATTATCTTTCTGTTAATTTAATATATTATTATTTAATAATTAATGGTATTTTACCCTTATACCCTTAATGAATCCTGTTGTTAGTATAACAACACTATGGATGTTGTTATACTATCCGGACCCGTGTTTTATGACTTATGTGTTGAAATGTTTGATTTTATCATTGATGATGCATATTTATTGTTTACATTAGGGGTGAAAAATAATTTTAAAAAGAGAAGATACAAGCTAACCTCACTATTTCGGTTTTGTATGAAAAACCGAACCGAATTATAATTCGGTTTGAAACGACCGAATTCGGTTCGAATTCAGTTTGAGGTTTGATAGAATTCGTGGACCCGGTATGCATAATTTCGATTCGGTTTGAACCGAACCGACTGAATGCCCACCCCTAGCGGGGAGGATAAAGGCGAGACCAAATCCACCTTGGCCGGTGTTGGGGGGAAATGATTGAGAAGGCCAAATTCGCGGTGAAGGACAAGCATTTGTGGAAGAAGTGGTTTGACTTAGCATGTGTATTGAGAGGTTATGGAATACCCAATTTCTGGCAGATGGATCTACACTTGAAGGTGAGAAGTATATAAGATATGAAAATTGTGGTAATAAGTAGGGATGGCAATTTCGACCTAACCCGTTTTACCCGACCTGTTTGACCTGTTTTTGGGCGGGTCCGACCCGCCCCGTAGGCGGGGCGAGGCGGGCATGGGTAGTCTCATCGACCCGACCTGCCCTGACCCGCCCCATTCTCGACCCGTTCTTGTCTAAACTAAATGTAATCTTAGTCAAATTACTTAGAATTTTCCTTTTATTGCATAATATTTTAGCTATACTAAAGTTGTAAATTAGTGAAAACCTCAATTTCTCCAATAACTTAACTACAATTGTCATAATATTGTTTGTTTTCTTAGTCTTATAATAAAAATAACGAATATTTCTAATGTTTTTCATATAAATTGCATACCCATTGGGTCGACCTGCCCCGACCCACGACCCGTAATCAATTACCCGACCTGGACCCGCCCTGCCACCGGGGGGGTCTGGGTACCAAGAAACCCGCCCCGGACCTGCCCATTGCCATTCCTAGTAATAAGGTCATTCTTTGGTCTTCTTTTTATTTTCATTTCTTTATTTATTTGAATCTTTATATATAAATAGATGACATGGATGCCACGGTGGAGTTAGTTCAACACTGATGTTGAGTCAGAGACGAAAAACATGTTTGATCGTCAATATTAATAGTCAATTCAAAATTTTCAAACTCGTAAAAGTTGATCAAAACTGTGTCATATTTGAAAGTTTAGACCAAAGTTATTTTTTACAAAAACATTCAGGCCATAATAGAGTATTATGATTATGTTCCACAATTTTGAACCATAAGGAAAATATGGATTCTTAACATTGATAAAAGGGGGTGTGAAAAAGATAAATAAGGGGGAAATGTTGTAATATTTTGAACAAACTTAAAACTATTTTGTGGATATGAATAATTACTAGGATAGCTTATAAATAAAGGTTAAACTTCTTTTAGTTAAAAAATTTATCATGATAGCAATAACATTTTAATCTCCTATGATTAATATAACGGTGGTACTTTGTATAAATACAAATATATAATGACGTCCTTGTCCACTCTCGATATTAAATTCTTGAGAATTAAACGTTTTTGCGCTCCCGCTCCACAAACCGATTACCTAATTGGCTCATTTATAGCCCTAACTTCAAACCAATTTGGGTGAAAGCCCTATGAAAGGGAATGGCTGTTGGCCCAATATAACCCATAGGCCATAAATAAGAGCCCATCGTAACTGTAAGTCTTGATTTAGAGGGGACCCGACCAGACCGGCAACGAAGGAGACTAGCCAGTGCCTAGTAGCTGGGTCCAGATCTTGTCAGTAACTGATGGGTCAGTAACCCATCAGTAACCCCTTCCCTGGTCCCCACGTTTCAGTCACTTTTTTATTTAAATTAAATGTGAAAAGGGTAGTACAGTAAAATTGCACTTACTCCTATTTATTATTGATGCTCACTTTTGACCGGAGCCTATCAGCCCCTCCTTCTCTCTCCTCGCAAAACATTTAATTTTCCTTCCCTTAATCTTTAACGGACGATTTCTCACTCGTTTTAAGTCAAAATTTAATTTTTTTTGCACAGTTAGATCAGATTAATTGTGCTCTTCAAAATGATATTCACTTTGATATTTTTTTGACACAAAAAAATTTGTTAGTTATTACCAGTCTATACCATATGGTATTGACTGGTATTAAACTAGAGCATACCATGTGGTATGGTAATATTTGCCACATGAATATATATTTCGTTACCACCCAATACCATATGGTATAGTGTGGTAATATCAATATATATTTCGTTACCACCCAATACCATATGGTATAGTGTGGTAATATCAATATATATTTCGTTACCACCCAATACCATATGGTATAATGTGGTAATATCACACAATTCACACAATACCATATGGTATAGAGTGGTAATATCAATATATATTTCGTTACCACGCAATACCATACATTACCATAGGGTATAGTGTGGTAATATCAATATATATTTCGTTACCACCCAATACCATATGGTATAGTGTGGTAATATCAATATATATTTCGTTACCACCCAATACCATAGGGTATAGTGTGGTAATATCAATATATATTTCGTTACCACACAATACCATATGGTATAGAGTGGTAATATCAATATATATTTCATTACCACACAATACCATATGGTATAGTGTGGTAATATCAATATATATTTCGTTACCATGCAATACCATAAATTACCATAGGGTATAGTGTGGTGATGTCAATATATATTTCGTTACCACCCAATACCATATAGTATAGAGTCATAATATCAATATATATTATCTAAAAGGAAAAAAAACAGAAGGAGGGAGAGAAAAAAATCGTCTTCTGATGCCTCTCATTTCCTCTTCCTCAATCAAGAACACCAAAATGCCAAAAAAATGAGAAAGATCGGAATCGAGTCCAACGAGTTGATGAAGAGAAGAAATACAATGAAAGAGAGTGGCTACAATTTTTATGCTAGAGAAAAAAAATGAAGAAGGAAGAGAGCAGATTTAGATTTGAAAAGGAGATTTTGAGAAAAAAAGTAAGAGAGAAGGAATAGAGAAAGAGAAAGGTTATGGAAAGATATTGAAAAAAAGGAAGAGAGAAGGAAGAAAGTTGAGTTGCAGAGAAGGAAGATTCTCTCTTTCATTGAAAAGCCAGCCATTGAAATACGGAATAAATAAAAAATTAAAAATACGAAAACGGACAAAAATGCCTCTCCCCCACCCAACGTCCAGCCCATCCACACAATTTCTCCCTCCCCAAATCTACGACCCGCGTGTGGTTACTGATGGGTGGTTACTGACCCTATTCCCTATCTTGTACCCTAGTAGCTAGACAAAATGGAAAAATTGGTCGAGCGTCATATTTCCCCATCCGCCGCAACCAATCAATGACGCCGTCAAACCCAGGTGCTCGGAAAAAAATTAACACAGCCCACTGGTATCCACAAAACCGACCGATCCTCTAACAATGAAAACCATGGCTGATTTGGAGATAGGAGCTTTAGATTTTTCCACAACTCCACTGCCTTCAAGATTCATATAAGGAGATTTCCCGGTCTCTGACAATGAAGACGACGAATCGACCGCCAGCAGCTTCCAAGGATACAAAGATCGCCATCAATCATCATTCTGATTATGTGGAGACTTCAGTTAATCAGAAAGCCATGGAGATGCTTCTCAACCTCAGCCGGAGTTCGGCGCTGGTTTGATAGTGTCGGTCCGGCTGCAAAGGACCCCCTTCAAGCTGTTACCGAAGCTTTTAATTCCGACCCTTTTCCTCAAAAGATCAATCTCGGACTGGTACGTTAAAATTGAACTTTGCACTTAGGTAGCGCAAATAAAATGGTGCTTCTATTATGGAAGAGGATTTGTGATTTGCAGGGAGCGTACAGGGATGAGCAGGGGAAGCCTCTTGTCTTACAGTGTGTTCAACAAGCTGAAGAGAAGATTAGGGGTTGCAATTTATTGTGAGTTTTAAAAGCAAATAAAATGGCTGTATTTTGTTCCCTTCCAACTCTGTAGCCTAGCTTTTGTTGAAGAGCCATTGCGTTGCAGGGATTCTGTTTCAGCTCCAGTGGCAAGCGCAACTCTAGTGGAAGAATGCGTCAAGCTAGTTTATGGGAGAAGTGTGAATGTGGTCAAAGAGAAAAGGTTTGCTGGAGTGCCGGCTCTATCAGGAACTGGAGCATGTCGCCTCTTCGCTGAATTTCAGAGGAATTTCTTTCCTGAATCGGCTATATACTTGCCAGATCCAACGTGGACCAAGTATGCTCTCTTTATGATAACCATGTGGTACCAGTATATGCTGATGTTGGATTAGGTAACGTATATGCTGGCTGATGTTTGGCAAAAATCTTGTGATGCAGCCACCATAACATATGGGCCAATGCCCACGTTCCAGTGAGGACGTTCCATTACTACCATCCACATTTGAGGGGACTAGACTTCGCGGCTCTTATCGATGATGTCAAGGTATATATCTAGTTATCTACTTGTGGTGCTGGCATTGGTAGTCATTAAGCATGAACCACCAGTCGATCACTCACTGAGACATAGATTGGCTTGTTGAACTTACTAATCTGATGCACCTGCATAAATAGCTGGGTCTCATTATCCTTCTTCTGCTTTGTTGTTGTTCTTGTAGAATGCGCCAGATGGTTCTTTCTTCTTACTCCACCCTTGTGCTCACAACCCCACTGGGATTGATCCTACCGAGGATCAATGGAGTGAAATTTCGAACCTGTTCAAGGTACCTGGAATCCCCCTTTGGCTTTGTCCATACATTCGTTCAGTACCAGTTCTAATTGCTATACTTGAGATCTTACATTACTTCCACTCGACTGTTTAGATGAAGAATCACTTCCCATTCTTCGACATGGCTTATCAAGGTCTAGCAACGGGTGATGTGGACAAAGATGCCTCGTCAATCCGAATTTTCCTGGAGGATGGGCACTTAATTGGATGCGCTCAGTCCTTCACGAAGACCATGGGACTGTTTGGGCATCGTACTGGCTGTCTTAGGTAGGGACCTGTCATCACGTTTGAAGAATTTGTTCAATCTGTCTAGCTATTTCCTTTTTTGTGTAAAGATGGTCTCTCTTTTTGCTCTTCCAGTCTGCTTTGCGCTGACAGAGATCAAGCTGTTCGAGTGAAAAGCCAACTGCAGCGGATTGCTGGGGCAATTTACGGAAGCCCTCCCGTTCACGGTATAGTGTTGCTCTCGACGATATTGGGGGATCAAGCGTTGAAGTCGATCTGGTTCAAAGAAGTGAAGGCCATGGCTAGTCGCATTCAAAGCATGCGAGCTAAGCTGAGGGAGAGACTAGAACTGACTGGTTCTTCTCTCAATTGGGAACACATAACAAAGCAGGTTTGTAATGCAATATAGTTTGTTCCATTTTAAAGATCAGACCGAACTCAACGAATTAGTGACACAAAGAACCTGCAGGTAGGGATGTTCTGGTTCCCTGGCCTAACACCTGAGCAGGTTGATCGGCTGGCAAAGGAGTTCCACGTGTACATGACCCCTGATGGTCGGATGAGGTAAACCAAAATGAATTCAGCAACTGAATCAAAATGTAACACAATTTTGATTATTGTTCTCATGCACTGCAACTTTAATGTGCAGCATGGCGGGCGTTACGACGAGCAATGTAAGGTATTTAGCAAATGCTGTCCATGAAGTCACCAAATGTAGGTAGGTAACCCACGGGTTGTAGGTTCTCAGCTGGTGAAGGTCAGAGATAACAAGAGGATGAAACCGAGCCCTTTTTGCCTCTCCAGATGTTAGAATGGCGAGGCGGAGCAAGTTTGTAATGTAGTTTTGATTTTGCTTAATTAGTTGCACACTCTGTATTCAGCTACTGAGACCATGTTATAGTCATATAGATGAGATTGGCATGTAGTTTTGATTTTGCTTAATTAGTTGCACACTCTGTATTCAACTAAGAGTCTCAGACCATGTTTCTCAAAAAAAAAAAAAAAAAAAAAACTACTTGGACCATGTAAATAATTGCACTAATTAAATATAATGTACTTGGGCTGGCTTATGGGCTATAGTTTTCGGCTTTGGATCGGGTTAGCAGTGGTGTGGCCGTGTGGGTGTTCTGAATTCTGATTACGTCTCACCACCAATAGATTAGTAAAGTCCTAAAAGTGTAAAGTGGCCTTGGAAATCATAAATGAACTAATGAATCAGAAATGTATAATTTTAACGGGGGAGGGCATTCTTACTGTAATTTTTATAATCGAATTTAGCTCAACATTTCGATATGGTTTTGCATAAAAAATAAATACAATAATAATAAACCAATGATAAGCTATATTAAGATATTCCACCGAAACATTGCTGAAAAGTAGAGCTAATATAGACAAGAAAAATAAGAGAAAATTATTAACACAAAATTATATTATTATGTCTTGGATTAGAATACAAAACCATAATAGGTGACTGAGATTGAGAGGAAAATGATCCAATGAAAAATGGATATTATTGTGTAGATTTTAATGCATTATTTCTATAAAAAAAATTTAAATTCTAGGTTAAAACAAATGAGATATCACTACAAGAAAAATGGTCACTAACTACGGAAAAATCTGTCGCTTTTAAGCAAAAAACCGTTGTTGATAAGTACCAGATCCGTCGTTGAAATAAGTGCATCAATAATAATAGCAACGACGGAAACTCATATCTGTCATTGGTAAATTTCAACGACGGAAGTACATCCGCCATAGATATTTGGTAATGACGAACACTATATTCATCGTTGATAATTATCAACGACATAATTACATCAGTCATAGGTATTGTTAATAACGGGAATACTTCATCGTTGATAATTTTCAACGACCAATTCTACTATCATTATGAACTATTAAAAAGACCATTAGACACGCTACTTAATCACAACTGATGTATACGTTTTAAAATCTTGGTCATAAATTTGAAAACCACGTAGCATATCTTCCACCATTCAATTTGAGCAATAAATACATATATATGGATGTAAAACCTAGTTGAGTTAAGCAGGTCTATCCCTCAAAACAAAAAGCTGTTAGTTTACAAGCCATATCTCTACTATAAGATTTATCAATCTCTAAACTAAGATTGTGCAAACTCAAAATGCTAACTGTATCTAGTTACCCTAGAATGTTTCAACTTTCCAAAATCCCTTCCTTGTAGCTATGGAAAGGGTGAAGTAGAGCAAAAATATGACCAATCTGCTAAAGCCACGATGGATAGCTATGTACATATCCTGCAAAACAATTTCATACGAAAGAGACACTTAGTTATTAAGACCAATAAATATCCAGCCAATCAAGTAATTATATGTTGTACTATCTCAATTCTGTGCAAGAGAATGTATAAGCTATTTCATAATTGAAAAATAGGAAAAGGGCAATCAATGAAAATTTCTTTCCATAATGCTTGGTAGTGTTGGATGAAAATCATATAACCAAAATGATATACTATGGTTTAATTAGAACTACATTACACCCATCACTACAAGCTCAATTATTCATAAACAAAAGGAACAAAATGGAAGCATAATCCATTATACTACTTATAAACTGAGCAAAAAAACTCATAAGATTAGTAAGTTCAAGCAAGGCAGCAACTAAAATAGAGTAGAAAAATATGCAACCAATTAAAACCTTGGTTCAAGTAGCGAATAATCGAATAAATCCTCAAATAAAACTAAAACCATTTGTTAATGTGTAATGTAAACTATATGTGCATATATGAATAAATGGTTGATTGGCTCTTCAATAGTCTGTAGAAAAATCACTATAGTATATCAGAATTGAAACATAGCTCTACATTTCTCATTCGCTAATTTTCTAACGAGATTTCACAAGATTGCAAATGAAGAATCAAAATCCAAACTTGTAGCCAAAAGTACCTGTTGATCTCAATTCTCAGGCAGAGGGTCGGGAAATGGAGTTCTTTGTCCCATTACAACTCGAAGCATTTTTTTCAACTCTACATGTTTCATTTCTCCCAATTTAGTCTATAATATTTGAACACAGTCCTTGAGGGCTGCACTTTCATCTAGAGCATGCAATGCAGCATCATTGGTGGACTCATCAGACGACCTCTCAAAGTCTTTGAGAGTAACACCACCTCAATATCCAAATACTTTATCACTCTTTTGAGGCTCAAAACTCTTTTCAACTACTTCAAATGAAATTAACTCAGGTCCGGCATTCTGAATTTCAATTATATGATTCTATTCAAGAATATTAGATCCAAACACAGTTAGTAATAGTAGTAGAAACAATAATGAATACATAAGTTATAAGAAGGGAAAGCAAATCACGTACATGTTTCTCAATGATAGCAACATTCACCAATTTCCCATCCTTATTACGAGTTTGAAGAGTTTGCTTCATAAAAAAATTGGTTAGTGGTAGAACAAAATTATGATTATCTTACAAAGCAACAGAGAACAAAAAGATGAGAATAAAAAAACATATTAGGTGGTGCCCCATTTTTATTTTTCTACATATAGTAATACAAAAACATGAAGAGTTTGCTTCATAAAAAAATTGGTTAGTGGTAGAACAAAATTATGATTATCTTACAAAGCAACAGAGAACAAAAAGATGAGAATAAAATATGTACCTCAACCTCTAAAATTAACACGGTAAAAGAAATAGGAAATCAAAAAATGTGTACAAAGTGAAATGGCAAACAGAGCAACCTATGATGATCTAATACAAGAACCCCTGTACCAAGGAGCAATACATGCAATGCTATTATACTGAAATATACAGGATATATATAAGTACTTACATATTGATGGTTGATTTCCCTGCTAGGCTTACTACCAATGCGGGAGGGCATGGTAACATTACCTCTATTCTTAGCATTTTGTTTACTAGCTTCTAATGAAATCAGTAAGAAGTTTAAAGTTATTACAAGTAAAGAAAATAGAAAGTCACCAGAGAATATAAATCATACAAAAAAAGTATCTTGAACTTGACAATTGACCAATGCACTTTTACTAGCCACTCCCATTCTTTTTTATGAACTTGCGGAGGAAGATTCTTAACTGCCTCTTCCATATTCACACATGATTTTACATACTCTTTCTTGAAGTTACCTCTTGCTTTGCTCCATGTCCCCCTCATACAATCAGTCACAACTTTTATATCTCCATCAGCTACATGCCACTTCTCTTGGAAATTGGTAATATATAGTTCCATGAGCTCATTTTGACTACAGATTGTGTTATATAAACAAACCAACAAAGCCATTGTTAAAAGAGCCTTTTAAATTTCATCACCTGAACCACAGTCCACATGTGATCTATTGTTTCTTGTGGAATGTACTTCCAACGAGGTACTGCCATCGGGCATAGGCTAAGATCACGTACTATTCTGCCCAAGACCCAAGAGAATTCTTTATGGTTCACATCAACGACACGGTTTTTAAGTAAAACATGAACTTTTTGCACTTATTGGGACCTCTCTTCCTCTTCTTGTTAGGATCTAGTGAAGCATATAAGTATAGCAGTTAGAACTGTGATTAAATTTGAAAAACATTCATGACAAAGCAATATTTGAACAGATTACGAATTCAAACTTGTGTTGTGTTCTTCAGTAGTAGGAATCTCTTGAGCAGTTGGAGTGTCCAATACATTACTAATTACACTCACCCCTAATTTGGAAAATTTATAATTCAGTCATTCAGATAATCAATGTCAACATAGTTACTAAGAACCTTCACATCATAATACCCACAAACGTTATATGATAAATAGTTACCATCGCGTGGATTTAGAGATTCATCTGTTGCATCAAAAATTTGCACATGTTTCTTTCTTACTTGTGTTAAAGTGCCAGCAGCTGTTGAGCGGTGAATGATACCTCATTCTGAAATTGAGCTTGTCAAAGTTGACATTGTGTTGCATGGCTGGCCTCTTCGGTCACGGCTCTTCCATAGTTCACCAGGGGGAATCACGTTGCCCCTAATCCCCTTTTGATTCAAGCTCTAGCTTAAGTTAGTTTTCATTCTATTATGCAGGCAAAGGAACAAGTGACGTTAACAAAGATCAAGCAAAAATTGCAGCAAATTTCAAACTACAGAACATTCTACTGTTTCTCAATTCATTTCCCCATTTCCTTCTATTTTCAATTATCCTCAATCCCAGTTTAAACTTAGCATTTTACACTACTAGTGTACTTATGCCAATCACACTACTGCCTAAGTTCTATAAATCAAACAAAGAAGTTTTTTGTACAGGTCTTCAAGCATAATAATTCTACTTCCCGAAACATAGGTAGCATAAGTGTTGGGTGAAGTGAATCAAGAATAGAGCTAACCTTGCTGCCAAGTCCTTGAAAATACTAAAGGCCAAAGCTATCTTTCTACTAAACCCTGCCAATGAAAGAAAAATTTTCAAATCAAATTCCTACCAATAGCAGGACTCATTAGTGAGAGAAGAACAAATCCTTATCAAGCTTATGGAAGTTCTGTTTTAGTAACATATTGTAGCATAGTAAAATATTGATACCTCAGTTAAACAACATTAAATCAAAACACTTGGACATAGCACTCACTTTAAGCCCACATGCTATTCAGGAGCATACTATCCTTTTTAGGACAGGAACATACTGCATTTCTTTTGATCCAAGGCCTCACCCAATCAAAGATAAAATAAATAAGAAAGAAAAACAACTCATATGTTTGAAGCCTGAAACTACTCCCCTGTCCAGCGAACATGAGGAAAAAAATGAGCAAGAAACAATTATCACAGCCAGCAGAGTGACTCAACTCCTTAATAGAATGTATGTGGTTTCATCATGTTGAGAAAAACACATCAGGGAGTGAATTCATAGGTTTCTGAAATTAATGATTAGGAACAACAAACCAAAATACTAAATTCCAAACACATGGTAAATTAATTAGGGGGAGTCTTAGGCTGTCGGGTAGAATCGAAAATCAAAGAGTAAACTGTCGAGGAAACAGAGTTTGCGGCATCCAAATAAAAAGAAAGACACAATAATATTAAATGACATGGTGAAGAGCAAATAGGAAATCAAAGTTGAGACTCTACTTTGGATGACCACCTTCAGCAAGGCTTCATGAAGCACGGGTGAAGAAGACCTTTGGTTTGCTACCTGCGACTCGAACAATAAGGTTACCAGGTGATCATTGAGAAGGATGGAGAGCAATTTGTGTTAGTTATTAATTTGAAGAGAACGAAGAATCTAACCTTGCACACTATCATAGTGAGGATATTAGGGTTCAGGAGCCAGACGAGATGAAGAACTTTAACTCACTTTACTTCGACGAGGTATGCTTCATAGGGTTTAGTTTTTCTTCCAATTCAGATGGCGAAATCGAATATAGATGGAAAGTTGAAGTCAAGGAGATGCCATTAATGTTTGGGAAAAGGAAATCTTGCGACTTCCATGGATGGAGAGTTGGGAGAAGGAAAGGAGGGTTTCCTTGATTAAGTTCAAACTGTTCGTTCTAATTTTTTTGGTATTATGTTTCTTGTTTTGGGGCCTCTTATTTCAGCCACAAAAATTAAATGCTCCCGCTTGCTTTTTCATTTTCCCGCTTCACCCAAAAAGTGTAAAAAGTCTCGACAAGCACATGACCCTGCACTTAAGACGAAAATAAGTGGGTGATGTGCCCCTTTATTTAACCGAACATCATTAATGAAGGTGTTTTCCACTTGTTCATTGGTGCATCACATTAATTACCAAACTAGCTAGACGTTGTTAATATTTTGTCGTTAATAGCCCTTTTTTCATATGGATCCATGTTAGTAAAAGAAAACAAAAAAGGCAAAGGGTGCGAAGTAACCTATTTGTCCTTCCCGATTTATGTGGTTGGTGATTATTTTGGACCGTTAATGTGATTAAAATGGACTGATACATAATGAATTTTATAGAGGATTTTGTACTTATCATTTCTCCATTATTAAATTGTGCATCTGATCACAATTTTCCCTCCTCCGCAATGTAGCAGGTCTTTGTCTTTTTTTTTTTTTTCCAAGAAATGTCAAGAGAAAACCTATACAATCTACCCCGACCCTGCCCAACCCAATACATCAGAGAAGCCAACCCACAAAATCAAAGGCGCAAAACTCTAAAGGGGAGAGTAACAGTGCTTTCTGCGCCACTCTATGGGCAGCACTGTTAGCAGTCCGAGGAACTGCCCTAAACTCTAAAGAAAAAGAGACGGAAGAAAGGAGAAGGGAGCAATCCCGAAGCACCGGACCTCCAAAGGAGACAGAGAGAGCACCTTGACGAAGCTGCCGAATCACCACCTCTGAATCTCCTTCTATGATGACCCGAGGCAGCACTTTGGAGACTACAAGGGCGAAGGCGGCCCTAGCTGCTAGGAGCTCCGCAAGATAGGGATCAGCAATACCGGGAAGGAGAGACCCTAAAGCCAGAGCCACATGCCCATCTGAACTGCGCACCACAAGACCAGACGAGCACCCAGAAGGACGAACAGCAGCATCAAAGAGGAACTTCACAAAGCCAACAGGAGGAGGGGACCAAGACGAGAGGCGAGAACGGGAAGGCCGGGGCGGAGCAGGAAGGGAGGAAGACAGATCGCGAACTTGGAAAAAAACACTGACGAGCGAGAGACCGGGCATGAGGCTGGACATGCTCAAAGACCACCTTATTTCTAGACTTCCAGATCCTCCATAATACACAAACGTATAGGAGAATGTGGGTTTGGGGGTGCTCAGAAAGCATAACATGTCGCCACCAGAGACTGAAATTCACAGTCGGGGCCGAGGAGATGAAATCATTTAGACCCATGAGCGACCACAATCTTGTGGCCAAGGGGCATTTGAAGAACAGATGTTCAAGACTTTCCGGTCTTCTCCAGCAAACCGGGCAGCGAACTAGACAGTTTACTCTTCTGGTACTTTGAAAACCATAATTTAATTAATTCTAAAAGTCAAAAATTAATTATGACCGTCAGAAGTTAATTCTTTCTATCCCATAATTTGATATATAAACCAACCATAAAGGTTGTAAAGCGCCATAAAAGGACCGCTTTAGTGACTCATTAATCACTTGTAACGGATCATTAAGGACCCAATAACATCAAATAAAATAACTGATGTATTAAAACCCAAATAAATGGACCAATGAGGCCATTAATTGGTTAAGAGCCAAAGTTAGCTTGCTAAGCTTCCGCCCACTTTTAAAAAAAAAAAATAAAAAAAAATTGCTTTAGTTAATCACTAAATTCTTGTAACGTTTAATCAAAAGGCCATTAAAACCCCAATAACTTCAAATAATTGATGTAATAAAACCCAAATAGGGAATTAACGACACCAAGCGTCAAATCAGTCCGAAACGGACGAGTGCAGCCATTAAATGATCATTTTAATGCTCACCGGACGAGCCGGTTCGGACAGGTACGCTTAATCAGGCTTGATTACAGCCTTGATTCGGGTTAATGGTTACCCCAATTGCGCCCCGACAGGTACGCTTATCAGGCTTGATTACAGCCTTAAACCCTCTAATAATGGGACCGAGGGACACTGATTTAATTACAATCAATATCATTAAATAGCGTAACGGATCATCGGAGGCGTCTGGGGATCGGCTATCGGCTTACTCGACGCCGGAGGTTGAACTGAGAATCTGGGACGATGATTTGATTCCGGCGGCCAGAGTTCCTTTCGGAATCAGGAGGGAACAGACTAGCTTTGAAGCAAAGAACACTTCTAGATCCACAACAGAAGAAAACCAAAAGGCACTAAGCCCAAATTATACAGACGAGCTCAATCGCAAATCTGAAAAGGTCACAGGAGCGAGATCCACACAATCCAGAGCAGTATTTAACCAGATTTGCACCAGCAACGGCGAAGCAAATCAAAAACTGAATCAGTAAAACAAGAGCCGAATCCGAAATCGTTTATTGTACCATGGAGCGTAGAACTCGACGACGATGAAATCGTGTTTGGCGACAGTGTCAGTGAAATTGGTGTGGTCGAGCGTGAGCACGAACTCCTTGGAGTGCTCAGTCCATGTAGCAGGTCTTTGTCTAGTAGTCATATATATGAGATTGCTCTTTATCCCCATCTACCTGTCTTTATTGAGCAGTTGGGGACTTGGGGATGCACAAGGGATTGTCCATGACTGCTTGGTAGTGGCTACAACCGTCCCAACTAAATTTAATTTATTTCTTTCCTAGCCATGTTTTGCTAGGAATCCCAATCTCTCTCTTCTCATGGGACTTTCACTCGTCAAGTCCTCTTCCAAATATAAAAAAAAATTCACTCAACCATATAACATTTCTTTTATAAGTAAAACGTTCCACACATTGATAGTGTAGACACCACATTTTGTCCGGGCAATTTACTAATTCGAACTACTGATTAAGAGAGGTTGAGTATTCGGTTTGTTTAAAATTGACAATAGTCACTCGTAAACATCTCTCTATATGATTAACATTTAGTAAAACTAAGGATGCCGAGACATCAAAGTTTGTTTTGGACATGGGTCGAGTTGTTAAAATTTGGGCTATTAAACAAATTTAGCAATAGCTAACTCTATTTGATAAAAATTGATTAGTGGATTTGGGACTTAACTTCGAGAACAATTAAAGATAAGGAAATAAGTAATGGTCTCAATAAAATAAATTACAATTTACAAACACATTACTAAATAAAATTACAAAACTACAAATACAACATTGTTAAGCCCAAGTCAATGATAATTATATACAAATAAGATTCAACGATAAAATAAAGTCAACTCTGAAAGTCATACCCAAAATAAATTGTTCTAATTCAATCAAACCGGTTGAACCCAGCCTGAACCGAATCGACCCATACCATCTGAACCAAGCCGGTTCGATCCAACCCAATCTACAACCTACTTACCACTAGAGGGCGGCTCCTACATACCCTCAAAGCCAATTACATGGTGCCACCTCTGCAGTTTTTTACTATAAAAAGAGCCCTTCAGCTCTTGGGAAAAGGGGAGAACAAAAAACATTCCCTGAACCTTTTCTTCTCTGTCACTTCCTTTTTCCTTCTTTTCTGATCAAAAGACAAGACAACGAAAACTCTGCAAAAACCACTCCCTTCTTTCTTCTTCCCCACCTTCCCTTTCTCTGAACAAACAGACAGGGAAGAACAAAAACCCTGCAAAATTCTCAGATTCTTCGCAGCCACAAAAACACATACAAACAGAGAGCAAAAGCCAAAAAGAGAACAGGCAGTGGAAAGAAAACCCTCCATGCTTCCTCTCTTGCATCAGATAAAAAATAAAACGACCACACAACAACTTTCGTTTCCCATTCCTACAGCAAATAACCATCCCACAATCACCAAAAGCCACACAGAAAAGAGAAAAACACAACAGATTCCTTTTCACTTAATTGTTCTTTAGCCGCACAAAGAAGAAAAACACAACAAAAAGCAGCAAAACCAGATAAGGAGGAGACGACGCAAAGACAGCAGCAAGAAGTTTGGAGGAAAGGCCAGAATCACCATCAAGCTACAAGAAAAGGGTTGGTAATACAGTAATCCTAAATCTTGCCACCATTATCATTCAACAACATCATTTTTTATATATAATCTCTACTACTACCCTTCTCTAAAAATGGTTTCGAGGAGGAATCTACCTAACCAATATTCAAACAAATTACAAGTTAACAAACCCATGATCTGATGCAATCAAAGCTTTCTTTTTACTATATACATATGGTTATATTGATTAAAGCTTTTTGTATTGTAAACAAACTAGATTCGATAATTATACTAGCCTTATATGTTTAGTTATGTTCATGTTGGCTATAAAAATTACTAAGTTTTCTGTGTGTTAAGCATACAGTCACAAACATACTTAATATAAACTACTCACCCTAAGCTACCTAATCAGATTTCATAAACTAGGATCAACAAGCCAATTAAACCAGCTTTTAGTTTATAAACTCTAAACCTATTCTTGTTCATAACCTTACACACAAACAGCAAACATAATCCCAAAGCAAAAACAAACACACAGATCTCCAAAATTGCACCCCATGAATATGAATTTCCGGCAGCAAACCATCATAAACAACACAAAACTCCCAACACCAAAACACGTCTAAAAAGTTTGAGCCATTGTCACAAAAATCCCAAACTAACCATTATAGCAGATTATCAAAACAATCACCCCATCAAACCCAAAACTCATTTTGGATTAACATGAGATACATAATCCCCCCACCATAAATACTTCACAGAATTTCATATTAACAAAACCCACCTCCAAGCCCAAGCATCCAAATCAACTATAAAAAATGACACATAACACCTAATGACCTCAAGCATTAGCAGTGATTTTAGGTAGCTGTCAAGTTGTTACTACTAACACATTTTAACACAAAATATTGATTTTTCGAATGACAATCACCACCAACCGAATCTCACAATCAAAATCACCATGAACACCACAAAAATTGTGGGCTCAAACCCATATCATACACCTACAAGTCCCAGTTTCAAAACCATATCGGATTCACAAAACCGCGTATTAACCCCAAAACAACCATTTAAAGCACTCCTCCAATCAAATGATCAAATATGAGTTCTCAAACTAACGCCTCAAAAATCCAGATTAAGACAAACACAACCTCAATACAAGACTCAGATTCACAAATAACTAAATACCTTAACCTAATTAGATTGACCATAGCCTAATCAAAACTTAAAAGGTTATGCAGAGTTCACCTAGGCTCTCGCATTTCCACAACCTGCAGCAAACAAAAAATTTAAGTCAGAATTCGTTAAAACCAGGATCAAACCCAGATCCTGAAACACATATAAATTGCAAACCCAGAAAATCTCACCTTACCGAATCCATCGCCTCTGTTTTTTTGTTTGCTCCCGTCGGCGGCAGGGCACCAGTCGCCGTCGTTCCCCTTCTCTTTTCCTGAGATCCGGGTTTGCCCTTTCCCTTGCACGGATCGGGAAACCAAAACATAAACAAAGAAATACAATCAGAAACCGAAACAACCAAATAAAACCCTCAAACCCGACATGCAAGCCAAAAATAACCTCATACCTTTTCCCGCCGCCGTTATCCTCAACGCCGGCGTAAATCACCGTCGCTTCTTGTCGTCGCCTTCCTCTTTCTTTTCTACCCTTCTCCTCGACATTACCAGAAAGGAAGGGAGAAGAAGAGGGACGATCGAATGGAGTTGAAAAACGAGAGAAAGAGAAGGAAAGGAGATCGATGGATGATAAAATTAGGGTTTGCTCCGTTTTGCTTCTCCTTGGTATCAGATCGAGAGAGAACAGAGGAGAGGAGAAAGGGTTTGAGCGGTCGATTTGGGTTTATTTTGGTTTAAGAGAGGCATTTGTACCCGGAACATTAATTTGACCAAATTCCCCTTTCTTTTTCCATAAAACTACCCTTTTGCCCTTAGCTCTCTCTTATTACGAAAAATAAAAGAAAATTCCTCCACAGAGTCTCAAACAGGCCCAGAACTCACAACCCGCCTCAAGACAGTGAAATTAGCCACTAAGCCATATCATCAAACTTGGAACTATAATCTCCTCATCCCAATTTATTATGTTTAAGCTTTAACCAAATTATGTCTGCCTCTAAATATTTCAAAATATTAAAAAGCTTGGTTACCTCATTTGCTTTGGCTTCATGATTCATACACATACTCGTTTTACTTAGAAACTCTCTTAACGCGAATCATGGTCAATAGACTATGATAGTCACTTTCGATGAAACCATTTAAAAATTATCTTACCACTCAACTACTAAGTTGAAACATGATAAATACATTTCCTAACAAATCAAATTGTTATCTTAATCACGATCAATAGAACGTATTAAGATCAGCTTTAAAATCTCTCAATTTCAATCGAACTACGTGGACTTTGATCCCGACTACTCGGGTACGTAGGCAACCAATAGGTTCGAGTCCAACTAACCAAAAACTCTTTCTTTAATTTTGAGAATTATGTCAATAGACGTATGATCAAATATTAATAGGGTTAATATTTTCGTATGGCCTGAACTTTGACCAAAGTAAACATCCTGGCCAATCTTTTCGATCTATAACATTCTAGCTCGAACTATACACCAAAGTAAACAATTTGACCAAATCAGACTTTTGACCGTTAACTTCGACGGTCAAACGCGTTGACTAACGGTCAACGCGCCATGTCACCGCCAACTCAGCAATAAAAAAAAATTAATTTCCTCTCTCTCTTTTATTTCCCCACTCCTAATCTTTCGCCCTCATGCGTCCGGCGCGTCACCCTCGCCGCACCGACACCTTCCCCTCTTTTACCCTCTTCTCTCTCTCTTTTCTCTCCGTTCAATCCCCCTTCCCCTCTTTTCCAATCTTTAACCTAGGTTTTCCACCACCGCCGCCGATCGATTGATTCCCCTTCCACCGCAATCCATCCTCCATGGGCGACCTAACGGATTCCGGCACTCCCTCCAGCAACCCTAACTCCCGCCCTCTCCCCATCAGGGAGGACTGCTGGAGCGAAGAGGCCACCGCCACGCTCGTCGAGGCCTGGGGCAACCGCTACGTCGAGCTCAACCGGGGAAACCTCCGCCAGACCGACTGGAAAGAGGTCGCCGCCGCCGTCAACGCCATCCATGGCCTCACCAAGAAGACCCACCGCACCGATGTCCAGTGCAAGAACCGGATCGACACCATCAAGAAGAAGTACAAGGTCGAGAAGACCAGGATCACCGCCTCCAACGGTGTCCTCACCTCCTCCTGGCCCTTCTTCGACCGATTGGACGGCCTGATCGGATCTAATTTCCCCGCCACCGCGACCAAGAAACAGCAGCAGCATCGCCACCCATCTCCGTCTCTCTCCCCTTCCCCGCCGGTGGCCCTGCCGCTCACATCCTCGTACCGCCGAACCCCTTCCTCGAACCCACCCGTGGCGGCGCTCGGCCAGAAGAGGCCCGCCGCCGATGACATCTATTTGTGGGTTTTTTTTTCCGTCTTCAAATTGAGAAAAGACCTAGGTGGAAATTAAATGGGCTAGGTGGAAATTAAATTTTTTTTTTATTGCTGAGTTGGCGGTGACATGGCGCGTTGACCGTTAGTCAACGCGTTTGACCGTCGAAGTTAACGGTCAAAACCCTGATTTGGCCAAATTGTTTACTTTGGTGTATAGTTCGGGCCAGAATGTTATAGATCGAAAAGATTGGCCAGGATGTTTACTTTGGTCAAAGTTCAGGCCATACGAAAATATTAACCCATATTAATAACTATCTAATTAACCAAATCATAAAATTAAATACATTAATATAGCCGCAAATAATAATACACCTAACCCTTAAAAACTTATCGATTCACGTAGTACCCACTTGGGGTGTTGTGGGGTGTGAATACATTTCCCTACACGTAACCGTACTCCCGAACTTAGGAAAATCTAAAATTCGCAGACCAGATTTCTGGTTTTAACCTAAATAACAAAACCAGAAAAGGGTGTTCGACCCACCCCAAAGCGCGGTCGATGGCGACTCCGAGCATTTCGCGAAAGATTCCCCGATCTCGAGGGGGCGGTTGCGACAGATAGTTTCATAACTAAGCCACAACCAAGACAATGACGGTGTCATTAGAGCCTACTAGTCACTCCCTTCCATTAATCATGTGCGGTTGTCACTTTCTTGCCCCTCATGGCAGAGTTTCATTGCCTTGGCCAAATTTATCCCTTTGACATATGGAGTGTGCCATCAATCAACTTCTCTTCACTACCCCCAATACCAACACTTTGCCTACAACCCAACAAACCCTCCATGTCATTGCTAGCTATGCAATTCATGCCCATCATGAGGGTATCATGACATGACTAAGGGTGAGTAAGGCTTGGCAAGCCACCCACCATGGTGGTTGGTCAACATTGAACCTCTTAACATCTTGCGTCCCTAGAGAAGGGACATAAGACTTTAGATACTTACCATTAATCAATCAATCATGAAACACGCCATCTAGATCTTTTAACAAATACGCTTTATTTGGTCGACTGGCATGGACAATGAAGGGTCCATGTTAGGCACCCAATAAGTTGCTCATGCCATATAAGTGACATAATGTATCAACAATCAAAGGACTGTAGGGGCTCTATAGACACAGCATATGACTTGTTTATTACTAGTCTTATTGATTACTAGTCGTGGCAAGGCCCTCACATCGCTAGTGTTAGGACTCTGACTCAACTTGCCACCCATACATATTTTTTTTGCCATGTTTGACATGTGATGTTGTTCTTCTCTTTTTCTCCTAGTATTTTTAATTTATTTACTATTTTAAAATAACAGAGAGTGACAGACATCACTACTCTCCGTACCCTTTGGCCACTACCAACGTATCAAAGGTGTACACCCACTGCCAAGTTTATGAATCAAACCTTACCAACCATCCATACATTAAATGCCTTTCCTCTTTACGAGGAGACGACTCCTTTGATGTTGGTTTTGAATTTTTCAACTTAACAACACATGTACATGATCAACATGTCTTGCCTTGGTGGGCTTGCAAGAGGTCCAATGATCCTCAGCCTGAGTCACCTTACTAGACATGTCTTGACTCTTCCTGGGTAGTGCCCTAGACATTTTCAACTCCTCCGAGTCATCAACAAGACCATAAGTTGTCATTTGCCTTAGGTTCCCCCGTCCTGACATAAACTTACTTCCCCCAAATGTTTGGAAAGAGGGATGTTTGGATTTAATGAGTCGACGGCCATCCTTATGGGCAACTTGACTATGTCCAAACTCCATGCCTTTCTTACTTCTGCACTTAACACATAACCACCCTTCATCCATTGGAGGATCATACCTGGTTTGTTTGTGTCAAAATTTCTTATTCAAGCCCCCTTGTTTACCATTCATATTTGGCCCATGAGGGTTGTTAGGCATAAACTTGCCTCCTTCGACACTCCTTGACACATTCTCATATGTAGGAAACTTGTGGGTGACTTGATTGTTTTCCACACTCCTAGGCTTGCCCCCAATCGTTTCTTTACACTTGATGGCACGCCCCAATGTCCGCTACATGAAGTTGGAGACATGCCCCCATGTCATTGTTCATGGTTATTGACGTGCCCCTCTTGCCACACTTAGCTACACTAGCATTTTTACAAGAAACACATGTGGCTTGGCCTGTTATGACTCGTTGAGCATACCTATCAACCCACTTCTTGTGGTTTTGTGTATCGAGGTTTCTTATGCATGCCCCCCGGTCCACCAATCATGTTTTGCATGCCATGGGGGGCCTTGGGCATGAATTTTCCTCTTTTTCACTCTTTGACACCTACAAAAGTCATGAGTAACTTGAGTGTGTTGCACACTCTTAAACTTGTCTCTCACTTCATTCTTCACATTTGATGTGATGCCCCTCAGTCTATTGGATGGGGTTGGAGACATGCCCACATGCACATTTAGTTACACTAGCATTCTTAATATAAACGTAAGTGGCTTGGGCTTATTGTGGCTTCTTGGACACTATCAACCACTGCTTGGGGCTGATAACATGCCTTGCATGTCATTCTTAGACAATAGGTATGGTGTCCATTTGGACCCCTCTATGTACACCTGTCTTGACATCAACTTGCCCCCAACCTGACATTTCATCTTGAGCTAGTCAGACTATTGGCTTCCATGTCCCCCTGGCGGTTTGTATTTACCAATTCTGTTGAGCATGGATGGCATAGAGGTTGATATGGTTTATGGAGTAACCCCCTTCACGTGAATGGCGAAAGTGGAAGTGAGATCTTTGTCATAACCGACATGTTTAAGAGGTGGTTGACTAGTCACCAGAGGCGACGAGTTCCCTGACACTGGGTGGGTAGTCTGCTACTCGTATCCCCAGTAACAATGCTTAATAGTGGAACTACATCATCGTTCGCCAAAACCTCTAATCTCAACGTTGTTTTTTAAAAGTTGGCGAAACTCCTAAAAATTATTGTTATTTATCTTCCAAATCTCATCCAATTGATCCAAACTTCAATTTAGGCAAGTATGGAAACATTCAAGTTGAGATACTATTTGTTTTGTGTATCCCACTAGGGCCTCTTCCAACTGGTGGAGAAGCAAGGTGGTGGCGATTACACCCAAATATCATACATAGCCACTAGCTCCTTTACAAACCAAGGTGAAAGATCACCTTCTTGTTTTCTCTATCATGAAGCCATTATATAAAACACAAGTGTACCAGCGTGTGTGCCAAGTTATGTTCCGTCGAGGAAACTCTTGTGTTTTATATTAATGGATTGGATCTTTGACTTCTTGAACAACAATTCTAACATGGTTCACACCTTTCTGGACAATTTTCAAGTTGTTTGATGTTTTTGATGATTTTTGGAAACAAGCTATGTTAAATTACCCTTACTCATGTGGTTTAGTGAGAGCTCCAGAAACTAAAAGCTACGAATATAGGTACATTGCAGAGAAAGGATAAAGTTTGACATGAGGTGTCAAATGTTGGGTTGTGGAACCCTTTTCCAATCTTCGTTTCTCCTATTTATAGCCATAACATATAACCGTCCTACTAATCTCTAGTTGGCTTGCTACCCCAACCACCTCGGGTTCATCATCGTCGCCTTGGTGATAGTTGGTGTCAGCTTGATGGCCCCTTGCCTCGTCCTTACTAGATGGGGTTGAGGTATCCTAATCTTATTTCTACCAGATTTTCCCTCCCATTGGGACTCATTGACAAACATGACAACCCTAATGATTCCATACTTAGCTCCTCTAGTGTCAACTTATTGCCATCTTTGTCTCGTTACCTAGCCCGCCTCTTCTTCTTGCTATCCTCATCTTGTTAGCTAGGCCTTGTTAACAATATTGATTGGATGAGAAATTAGCCCCTTTATCTACCAAGAATTCATAATTAGTCTTAGAGGACTTGGTTTCATCTTGTCGGCTTATCACTTAGAGGACTTGCCACCAAGTCCTCCTCGTCGACTTGCTAGTTGCTACCATGCTTGTCTCATCCAAGTTTCCACCAAGCCCATGTAATCTACTTGACACTTTTCACCTGCCATCTTTGTCTCGTTGGCTTGGTACCCGGTCGAGTACAACCTCACCTGGCCACCTTGTTACCTCCTCATCAGGTTGGTACATGATTCGGATCCAATTGTACACATTTTACCCCATATTTCTTGATAGTTTGGCTTTGCATTTCATCGTCCCTCGACATATTTCACACTAGGTTGTGCTTGTTTTGATACATTTCAGGTCCTAGCACATGTGGAAGGGTCGAGGACGAGTTTTGGGACGATTAGAGGACGAAAAGCGCAAAAACTGAAGAAAAGTCCAGTGTCACCGTGACAATTGCTCCATCACCGTAAAGCGCATGCGTCTAGGAATCAGCCGCAGTTCACGGTCAGAGTTGCGAGTTCACGGTCGTCGAGATCGTGAGATGGAGCCACAAACTGTGAACCACTAATCGTCAAGAGGGGTTTATGAGGTTACTGACGCCAAGGCAGCTCACAGTCGCTAAGACCGTGAACGGGAACCATGGACCGTGAACCCCAGAAGTGAAGCGACGCATTTTGATTCAAGCGTTGCAGTTCACGGACGCGTTTTGATGTTGACGGCCGTGAGCTAGGGCCGTGAACTAGGTGCGATCTGAGTATAAATTGAGGCTTAAAGGAGGAAGATGGGTAGATTTTAGTAGTTTTTTAGTTTTGAGAATAAAAGAGGATTTCTAGTGAGAGATTATGGTTTCCTCTTCATATTCTAGAGAGAGAAAGTGCCATTTAAAGGAGGAAGAAGGAGATTGGGCTTGCCCTAAGCTAGAGGAGTGAAGATTCTGACCTCTCAAGTGAGACTCAAGCAAGGAGGAAGGAAGATTGTCATCTTTTCATGGTTCTTTCTCTCCTCTTTCTTGTTTTCCTTTGCCTAGCTATGGAATAGGCTACCTATTCACTTGGGTGTTGTGAACCCTATCTTGAAACATGTGAATACTTTTATGTGTTGAATGATTTTTGTGTGGTTGTGTTTAATGTGAATGTGGAGGTATTTTCATGGT